AGCTGCTCAGGGGCCTTGATCGTCACCGGGGTGCTCAGTCGGGAGAGGTTGTTGTGCCGGTCCAGCAGCTGGTGGAAGATCTTCTGCACCGTCAGGCGAGCCTTCGGGTCGGGGGCCAGTGCTCGGCTGAGCAGCTGATGGAGCAGACTGGAGGGAAAGGTCTGCATCATGCTGACCGGCTTGTACTTCGTGGTCACCTTCAGCAGACTCTTGAGGATGATGTTCTGCAGCTGAATGTCCGTGGCCGAGGTGGCCGACACCGGCGGCGCCTTGTCGATGATGAAGATCATCGTCTCGATCTTCTGGTAGTCAGGGAGGTTGGCGGCAAACTCGCCCAGAGTGTTGATCACCGCCTCCTGGAAGAGGCGCTCCTCCTCGACGTACTTCTTCATGTTGATGTTGTGGATGGAGTCACGCAGGTGGAGAATGAGCGAGCTGATGATGCCCAGCACCGAGGGACCGATCGACTGCGCCACGCTGATGCTGATGATCTCATTGAGGACGTTGACGATGCCTGTCTTCACCTTGATGCGATTCTCGCCCGAGTGGTTCACCGTTCCGCCGCTGCCGCCGTTGGTGGCGTCCACCCGGACATTGCCACCATTACCACCATTTCCATTTCCGCCACTTCCGCCACTCTCCTCCTCAAAGCTGACCAATCCCTTGGCCCCGGCGCTGCGGTCATTGCTGATGCTGTCCAGATGGTTCATCAGCAGCTGCACCACCGTGTAGGAGTGCTGCGGCTGAATGGAGTACATGATAATCTTGAAGGAGTTGATGGCGAACTTGTCGCTCGGCTCGGCCACCGTCGCCTCCCACAGCCGGTGGGCATCGAGGTGCTTGANCTCAAAGCTGACCAGTCCCTTGGCCCCGGCGCTGCGGTCATTGCTGATGCTGTCCAGGTGGTTCATCAGCAGCTGCACCACCGTGTAGGAGTGCTGCGGCTGAATGGAGTACATGATGATCTTGAAGGAGTTGATGGCGAACTTGTCGCTCGGCTCGGCCACCGTCGCCTCCCACAGCCGGTGGGCATCGAGGTGCTTGATGATCGGCTTCAGAATGGTGTGCACGTGACCGAAGGTGGCCCGGGCTATTAGCTCGCGCAGGCACTCCTCCGCCTGCACCTGCGGCAGCTGCTGGTCACTTCCGCTTCCGCTCGACCGGTCCACAGCACTGCACTGCGAATCGGGTGCCAAAATGATCACTCCCCCAACTTTTCCCGCCGCCTCAGTGCTGCCTGGAATGTCCTCAAAGTCCTTGCACTGCATGTTGAAGAGCAGCGAGGGGATGATCTTCTCCATGTGCACCTCACTCCAGATGTCCGTCTGCACCTGCAGGTCGTCGCTCACAGTCTTCCGAATGAGCCCCTTGATGCCGTTCAGACCGGCCGAGCGCAGCTGCTTCCGCTTCTTCAGGTCGCCGTTGTTGCTGTGGCANGTTGAAGAGCAGCGAGGGGATGATCTTCTCCATGTGCACCTCACTCCAGATGTCAGTCTGCACCTGCAGGTCGTCGCTGACCGTCTTCCGAATGAGCCCCTTGATGCCGTTCAGGCCGGCCGAGCGCAGCTGCTTCCGCTTCTTCAGGTCGCCGTTGTTGCTGTGGCACAGCGAGGAGAACTTGCAGACGAAGAAGTCGTAGCTGCGGTGGTACGACGGCGTGTCCTCCTCGATGTTCGCAAACTTCACAAACTGCAGGAAGAAGGAGAAGAAGAGGAGATGGTAAATAAACAAAGCACACACTCTCTGGCTATAAATCAAACAATCAACACTGGGTGGCCCCCACTAGAAGTACAACTTACCGAGCTCGTTGCGAGCACTTGCAGATCGGCATCTTNGCTTCCGCTTCTTCAGGTCGCCGTTGTTGCTGTGGCACAGCGAGGAGAACTTGCAGACGAAGAAGTCGTAGCTGCGGTGGTACGACGGCGTGTCCTCCTCGATGTTCGCAAACTTCACAAACTGCAGGAAGAAGGAGAAGAAGAGGAGATGGTAAATAAACAAAGCACACACTCTCTGGCTATAAATCAAACAATCAACACTGGGTGGCCCCCACTAGAAGTACAACTTACCGAGCTCGTTGCGAGCACTTGCAGATCGGCATCTTGACTCTCCAGCACTAGCTGCACCACCTTCAGGTAGCTCTGCACAAAGAGATTCAGTGAGTGGCAGGTCACCAGCAACTGGTCCATGGCGTCAATGGCAATCACCACAAAGCTGTAGAAGTGTGTGTTTGTTTGTTTGGCAAACAAAGTAATGAAACAAGTGAATGAATGTTAGAGAATTGCACCGATGTTTTTTGTCTCTGAAGTAGTTCGCTTTCNTGTTTGTTTGGCAAACAAAGTAATGAAACAAGTGAATGAATGTTAGAGAATTGCACCGATGTTTTTTGTCTCTGAAGTAGTTCGCTTTCAAGGGCTTACCCGAAGCGATGTCGTGAGAGGTCGCGGTTGATGCGCTCCGCCAGGTAGGCGCCAATTCGGTCAAGCTTCTCCGGCGATGACATTGCGTAGAAGATGAGCTTCTCCATGTTCGACTTGACCAGGCCATCCTG